GACTTTGTTTTTTTGTTTTTGTTTTTCTAAATCATATTTAGTGATGGACGACATACTTTAACCAAAAGACTCAGCTATAATTTCAGTGAAGAACTAAAAGGAATTCTTGGTTCAATTTATCAATGATATCCAACAGCTTGCTAACTAACAACACAACTATGATTCTATGATTATAATTAGTTTAAGAAGAGTTAACGGTATTTTCAAAGTTTTCTGAATTAAAAACAAAGTAGGATCTTTATAACTGCATCTGATACTCAGGGAATGGACTCCTTCAGCCTCCAATTAATACACAAATTATTTTTGTATTGTTCAGCCTGTAGTGTGCAACAACAGAGAAACATGTCATAATTTATAGGGCATATATTTATGGATAGGAGACATTAATCAGATTTGCAGAGTTAAAATCAGTATGTGGCCTAAGATCATGTGACATTGAAGTCATGAAACAAGGCTTAAGGTCTAGGTTAGTCTGTTATAGATCACTAAATAAAATAAATGTGGCCCTGAATTTAATATATAGCAATGCAACTAATAAAGAATGAAAAACTTATCATTGATTAACATAAATTAATAGACACTTTATGGAGTGGTGTTCTCAGTAAGAATCTGTATCTTCTTACTTTGTTTTAAAAAAATTTTTATCAAGAGATATTAATTGCACTTATCAGTAATGATATTTTATTCAAATACATTATGTTTTCAAAAAGTTTTTAAATATTTTCCTTTACTATTTTATTTTTTCTGTATGTAGGTTTTGCCTGTATGTATGTCTGTACACATGTACAACTGGTGCTCTCAGAAGCCAGAAGAGGATGTCAAATCCCCTGGAACTAAATACAGAATGACTTTGTATCTTTCCAGAGTAAAATTGTGAATAGCCATATGAGTTCTGAGAATAATACCTGGGCCCTCTGAAAGAGGAGTCGATACTCTTAACTACTGAGTTATCCCTCCAGCCCTAGATATATTTTCACATTATTTACAAAAAAAAAATGGAAAATTCATTGAGCCACACTTCTAATATGTTTATTTAAAAATTATGCAGGCTACATTTACTATGTATAGACATGAAAATTCAATCATGTAACTATGTAATTTGAGAAGAAGTATCAATAGTATTGTTCTAAGTTCAAGGCCAGTCTGGGCAGCAAGTGAGCTCACTGGTGTCATAAACACATGATACAAATTCTTCATGAAAATAGTAATTGGTTTATATGTCAAGTCTGAATTTTTCAAAACGCGGAGTTGTGTTCACTAATAAGATATCAGCATACTATTTCACATGATCCAGAAGATAAACAGACATTTCTGAGATGATTGGGGGAAAGGCTTATTTTAAGTAAAACATTTTTCTCTATAATTGAACAGAAAAGTTTTTGAGAAAAATATTGCATGGATTTCATTAACATGAAATGCTTCATGACTGTGTTAGATTTCTGTCCATCAGTGAGACGTCAAGAACAATGTTGGTTGTTGAGAGTCTTCTGCATAAGGATGGGTGTAATGACCAGTGCCATGAGAAGAGAAGCATATGTACTTATTCTAATTCTGACAAACATCACTGGCCTATTCACACTGGCACATATCACAAGAATATGATCCTGTATTGCTACAACCTCCAAAGAAGCACTGTGTCTCTTCCATGGATGGCAAAATTATCAGCTAAGACAGAATAACATAGTAACCACACCAGGAAAAGAATGTTTATAAGAAAATGCTAGTAACAAATAAGGAAATAAAATAATGGTGTGGCAAGGGAACAGATTCGAAATGGTTCAGGGAAAATGCTTTGCTGTATGGATGACACTTGAAAGAAACATGATTTGCTGCAGCAGGACTGTACTATGCATTAGCCACACAGACTATGCTGAGAAAACCTGCTTTAACAGGAGTAAAAGTGGATGAGAAAAATCTGTACCGGCAAAATGGATCTCATGCGGGAATAATAGGGTTGAATTTAAAATAAGAAAGCCACGGTGAAAACATGTCTACATATTAGTTTATTTCGAAAGTGTGGCTGGGAGTCACATGGAGACCTGGGCTATATGGCATGCCTAGTAAAATACAACACAAAAATATGAGCTACAGTATGCTCTGGAAAAGAAATAAAAAAAAATATGCTCCCTTGTCAATTAGTACAAGAACTCCCACAAAGACTTTCAAGGAGTTTTTTGTGCAAAAGCACTTGAAGTGAATAAGTGGAGACATGGTCCATCTGGTAGATACTGTTACGTTCAATTTACTGAGCAGGAACTCAGACTGTAATACGTCAAAAACATTCTCAGGGTTATACAGCTAAAAATGATGAGGCTACACTGTCTAGACTAGAAGTGTCTAGAGGAAGCTAGAGGTGTCTAGAATTGATTATTTTTCAAAGGAAGACTAAAAGGAAACTTATGTACGCATGTCACATATGAATGATCTTGGAAAGAAACAGAAGAGAAGAACACTGTTTAATGAACTTGTTGAAAAGGAACAGGAAAAAGATGAGGTTACATGTGTTCTTGTATGTTGGGTGATTATAAAACAGAACTGTGATTAAGAAATGTATGGCATGGACTCTGTGGAGACATTCATTTCAGAAAAGCAAATTTTAAAAGGAGACGGTGTCACTGGGAAAATCACATAGCAACATCAGCAAAAACTACTGCAGGACAGGCTGAGACAAGGAGTGTGAGGGAAGGATGTGTTTATTTATTCATTCATTTATATATTTACAAGAAAGGATTCTGACTTGTATGCATAACAGAAATACTGGGTCTGAACATGAGTTTTGAGATAAAAGGATAAAGGGAACTGTGTAAATCCCACTGATGGAAGAATGTAGGCCCCCACCCCCCAATTGTAAGAGGAATCTATTCCAACGAAATATAAACGAAGAAGTCAGAAACTAAAGACAAACTTCTGAGTTTAACATTGGAAATAGGTCTGTGCACTGGAGAGACGACTAGGTGGCAAAGAGCACTGGGGATTTCCCAGAAGATCAGGGTTAGATCCCCAGAACCCACCAAGTAGCTCATAACTTTCTATAACTCCAGTTACAGAGGACCTGACACTCTCTTTTGGCCTCTTTGAACATCAGACACGAGAGTGGTACCCAGACACACATACAGGCAAAACATCCACATACATTAAAACAAAAACAACAAAACAATAGATCTGTAAGGAAAGCACTGAAGAACATCAAGAATAATTTTTCCTTACAAATAACCATTTGTCTTTAGGTCTGTATGTTTAAATGCAAACATGCTTGTACACATGTGTGTATAATAGGACATAAACAATGATTAAACAATGTGTAAGGACTTGAAATAAGAAGAGAATGAGATGTGAAAAATAAGAATGCTCTAAGATTAGCTAGGCGGTGGTGGCGCATGCCTTTAATCCCAGCGCTTGGGAGGCAGAGGCAGGTTGATTTCTGAGTTTGAGGCCAGCCTGGTCTACAGAGTGAGTTCCAGGACAGCCAGGGCTACACAGAGAAACCCTGTCTCAAAAAACCAAAAGAAAAAAAAAAAGAATTCTCTAAGATTTCCCCAAATAGAAAATAATTTAAAATACAAATTTTATTAAGAACACAAAAGGGACCAGTGAGGTGGTTTACTGGGTAAAGGTGCTTGACTACAAGTCTAACACTTTGAGTTAGATCTCCAGGACCCACACGAAGAATGAAAGAATGGCTTCTGCAAACAGTTCTCATACCTTTGTACACATTCTCATGTGTGTACAGTTCTGTCTATACATATCATACATATCAATTAAATTAATGTAGGGTTTTTTTTTGTTTTTTTTGTTTTTTAAGAAAGCAAGGCTATAATGCTGACTCTGTCAGCTGAGGGGAAAAAGATGTGCTAACCTGAAATTTCTGACATTTATCAATCTTGTTAAGGAAAGATATGAAATTGGAAGGAGCAGGACAAATTATTATGAAAAAGACCTGTGTGTTAACCTGGTACCCCTGTAAATGGAATGACACTGAAAGAGATGTGTTCTGAATGGTCTGTGGCAAGCTGATCACTGTACTCTGAGCACCTGCATAAGAGTGATTTATCTATCAAATGCCTTGTGTTTGCATGAGTTTCCTTTTCTGATTTTAAAAATATTAATGATGAAAATATTTAACTTACAATGAACCTTGCACTCTGCATAACTAGATATTTTCTTATAAATGATTTGAATACAATACAATGATTAGCTCTATGTTAAAATGCCAGACAGGCTGGGAGCCGTTAATCTCCAGGCAATTGTTTTTAATTGTCTTAACTCAGATTTTTCAGTCTCTGATTTACTTAAGGAATTGGAACATGGACTAAAAACCTATACACGATTGAAAGTTTTGTTTCAAAATGTTTTACAATATTGAAATATCCATCCTGAAAATACGTATCTAACGAGAAATAAGTTGAAGAGTGATATATAATTTAAAATTGCCATTCATATCAACAACGATTGAGTTCATGTAAAGAATACATAAATCATTTCACATAATTAATCACCTTCAGCTAAATTAGAATGATTTACTTCATTACTTTTCAATTTGATACATTATTTATATTCATCAGATATATGAACTTTTAAAACATTCTGTATATATCTTGAACCTTCAAGTAAAAATATGTAAGACACCCCTAGCCTCCTAGAGAAAAGGGTAATGGATTCATAAAGTAATAGTTCGTGCAAGACCATCTTAAATTCCTTTTGCAGCAGTGTACAATATGATTTATTAAGCACATTGAAAGATGTAGCCCTTTAGACAGTTGAGAGGAAATTACTTTAATAAGTTCATTCCAGTAATATGAAATACATAGATTAATTTACAATATCAGCAAGTAATTCTGAGTAGTTCTGAAAAGCAATATTGTCATAAAATAAAATTTAGAGATTAAAAAATTAAAAATAAATCCTATAATACATTCAATACATTAATAAAAATTACAGCAACAAAGTCTCAACAAGGGCCTACAATAAAACAAAAACAAACTAAGCATCAAATTTCTTACCTGCCGAATACCCAAGCGGTATGCAACAATCCGATCCACTGCATCAGGATTCATCTGTGTCCACTGTAGACTGTAAGAATACACTCGGTGTCGGTTCTGCCACACGGGGTTGTAGGTGTCATAGTAGAACTCTGGGGCATAGGCCTTTCCTGGAAGCAGAAAGTGAACCAGTGTGACTGTAGACACATCAGGACTTCTACATACTCATTCTTCTCTTGGGCTTATTAAAAATTAATATTCTTTCTTCGGTAAGGAACTATTCTGCTTGTAAAGTCTTATTATTAAAGTCAAGTCTGTTTCCTGGTTAGTTTTGAGACTTTGACTAGCAGTATGAGAAAAGAAGTATCGGGAATGACCCCAGGGTCATAGGCTAAGCAGCTCAGAGAATGAAATTTCGCCCAACTGAAACAGAGAGCTATTGAGGGATTGAATTTTTGAGAGAAGTTCAGGAAGAAGAGTTTTTAAAGAAATTTGACAGATAAATTGAATACATCCAGGATTTAACTACACTGAAATAAGGGAACACTAAGGATTGGGGGTACGGTCTGGCTAGCTTAAGGCATATTCAGAAATTAAAGGTCTGAGATTTGAGGGCATTACTGAAAAGATTACTAACACAGAGAAAAGAAGATTAAGTTCTGTGTACTAATACAGTCCAAGAACTAAAACAAGAAGATAAGAGCCATCGAGCTTGAAAGAGAAAGAAAATTAAAATTTTCTTTTTTCAAAGAAAAGAAAAGAAAAAGCAGTATCATCAAAGAGATGTAGAGGGAGATGTATGATCAACTTCCTTGAAAAACACCTGATACAAAGAAAACATGCATTTGTGCTTCCTATTGCAGTAGGTCTGACATTAAGATTTAATGTTTTGAACCAACAAGGCATACTTTTATCAAACTCTAATGCCACAACAAGTAAACAATCCAGGAAATATTAAGCACAATAATCATTACCCTAAAGAGTTTCCTCAGTGCTGACAGGAGAGGAATACGATGTTTGCCAGTTTGCTAGTAAAACTAGATAAGGCACATTAAATATCTGAATTCTGGTAACATGGATCCAAGTCCTAACAAAAATACTGTGTGCAGTTTTTTCTTTAATTGTTCAGTGAAATCCAGAATCAATTTTATCTTGGTGTTGGCCTCAGCTTTAGTTTCTTTGGCTCATTTAGAACTTCTGATCCGAGAATTCAATGAGAAAAAAAATATTTATTGTTTTAATCCACTTGATTTATGACAACTGCTTTGGTATCTGTAAGTTGATGTTGTTAGCTTGTGACTAACTAACTAAAATTGAAGTCATTCTATGAATAAACTAAAATTAGCTCAGAAACAGTTTGAAATTAACTGACTAGCTTGTATTCCAGATAAAGGAATGTTGAGCCAGAACAGACATATCAGTGACATATGACAATGATATAGACAAGTAATCAGATACAATAAGATCTTGATTTTGATTCAAAAATAATGTTTGATAAAGCTTTCCTTTTAATTGAATAATTATACTAAGAATTAAAGAGGAGGTGAGATTTACAAGGTACATAAATAGTATTTATTTGTAATAAAATAAATGTTGTCATGGTTATAGATATTCTTTAGTTTTAAGGACACATATGGGATGTCTTCTCTGATACTTTACATTTGTTCTCTCTCAATCATAAGATACATATAGTCAAGATGGAAATATAGTTTTGAGCTATGACATCTGCTGGTTGAAGAGAAAACAAATTCCCAACATTTCTTGTTGTGTATATAGCATTCATTTTTATTCTAGTGCTAGTGAGAATATAAAGAATATTTTCATATGTTTTTACATTCTAATTTTATTTTTATGCATGTTCCAGTTTGAAATTTTTAGATTAACTGACCTAAATCTCTATACACTACTCAAACTTGAAGATCATTTTTAGACACATAAGGCATGTCAATATAAAGAGCTTAGATTTTAAAACATCTTTAAAATTATAGTGCTCAGAATTTTGCGTGGAATTTTTTATAATAATATGAATGTTATATTTTAGAGGAAAAGATTTTTAACTTTTAAACTTAGCTTTGAAAACACAATTTCAAGCACAATGCTTCAAATGTACTGAAATGATTATTCACACTTAAAACACTAAAGTGTTTTAGATTATATGGATATTAAAATTTTGCAATAAAGTTATATTGCAAAAGTAAATAAAGACAAGAAAAGGAAATGAAGTGATATTGGTCAAGAGTAAATATGTGCTCTGTAAAATCAATATTTCTCATAAAAGAGGCTGTAGGAAGATAAACAATATGTAAATTTACCTTAGATAATGAATTATAGAATATGCTTGAATATGTATGAGGGATATCAACTCATTTTTCATTTGTTGAAGAATCATTAACCTACTTATATAGGTCACTATCCTAGGAGGTACTGATAAAATCCTCACAAATGAAATCAACTCCATTTTGCTTCAGATTCCAAGATACTGAAAGAGAAATTTCCCACCAGAATAAACCATGAATTGCTGACATGACAGAGCTAGCTGAAAAACACTAACTAGTCTCACATTTGTGGCCAAGAATGTAGGATTACATTATAATCAAATAACTTTGCCAATGGATGCTTAAGTTTGCAAAGAAACAAAGAATTCTTCCAAGATCAAGGGACACAGAATTTAAAACAGTGAACAAGAGCATGTGACAAGAGGAAGTGTTGATTTTTATATTTGTATGAGTTTATATATTGGTGTGAGTTGCATATTTAGGTCCAGGAAGATGACGGTATTGAATAAGACATGTCACCACATGTGAGAGGCTCAGTGGAAGCTAGAACCTCAGCAGTATTGGGTTCTAGATAGATATTGTTACTCACCAATAAACAGCAAGAATATTTGTGTGAATATAAAATCCTTTGCTACTGACTCCAAAGAAGTACACATGAAAGTCAAGGCTTCATGGTATTAGATGCACATACTCTCAACCAAGAAGACAGAATTCTTCCCATACAAATACGCCTTTCCCTGTTCCAATGACAGTGATTTCAAAATATAACAAAACAAACACACAAGAAAGTATACTAACTACTGTGTATAGCCAGGAAGGCCAATGACATATAGCAGTATTGGACATATGATACTAGAAACATGAAATAGAACTTATCAGTATGTAATAACTGGTGATATTATACAATAAAATATTAAAATTTAGGCACTGCTGGTCATCTGTGAAAGAATAATTAGCATTTCTTTTAATGCCAATGTTCTCCTTTATGATGAGTGAGTAGGAAGAGAATAACACTTTTAAGATGGCTACAGGGATATAATATGGTTCTCTCTACCAAATATCCTCTCTACCAAATTATGCACTTCTAAGGAGACTGTCATGTCAGCACCTATTATGGTGGTTGATACAACGCCTATGCTTGAAGTAGATATACTAATCTAGGGTTGAACTATTTTTTTTTATTTTTTATTTTTTTTTTGGGTTGAACTATTAAGAACCATGTGTTTCCACATAAATGAGGGGAAATTTGTAATATATTTTCTAATTTTCCTTTCCCAGTTTGTAAATTACTTCATCATAACAATTAACTGAATGGGAACTAATATAATTATCATAATAAAAGCAATGAGACCATTTAAAATTCAAACCAAAATTAGTAAATCTAAAACGTCTCAAATGTGCATGTCTTAACACAAGAAGACTAGTTATAAAATCCATGGCAAACTTAGCACTAACACTGATGATATGCTGATTAAGAATGAACTGTAAAATTATGTTAGAAGCCATGGGTCTCTGTTTGCGTATATCTTCAGTATTTTCACAATCAGCACTAGTAAAGTGATTGAGAATCAGAAGCATCATATAATTGCATGACTAAAGTAGTGACCAACCCATTATAGACTGCCATGTATATATGCAACAAACACATACAACTCTTAGTCTTCTATCACATAGAGGAAAGCATGTACAGCTGTTGAAATTAGAATTGCCTTATCTTCAACTGTGTGACACAAGTTGTATTAAGTAACAGAAAGGAGCTATCTTAAGCAACAGGAAATATGATACATGGTTATGAAGTAAAAATGTTTGTTCTGGACCACTGTCCAGATGCCTTCTACATCAGCTTCTGTGTATGGTTGCTTACATTTACTTATGTGCTTGTTTGTACACAAATCTAGTCTCTGTCACTTTTATAATAACTTATAATCCTAGAATAGGAGTTGCATCTATACAGAGAAGGTATACCATCGCTCCACCATGTCTCAAATTTAAACATAGAAACCTGTATATCACCTGCTATGGTGTTACTATCACTAATAGAAAAAGGCCCTCTGCCCACATACTCTGCCCTTTTTATGTAAGGAACAGTAATTACTATTGTGTCCCTGGGAGTCCTTTTCTACGCCATATTGTATCATTGTCTGAAAAACATTAGCAACTCAGGACTTTTTAAAGAGAACAATTGAGTGAGTAAATTCCTCAAGTGAAAACTATACATATTTTATTAAACATTTAAGTCAGAAATAATGAATATATAATAAGCTGCCAATAAATGTATTCTGTCTTCTCCAACGCTATGTACTTTCTTAAAACAGAGTAGTAGTATCAAAGTACCTAAAAGCCTTGCTTCATTTGAAAGACCATTCTTGGGGTGTGTGTAGAGAGAGAGGTAATAGATAAAAGAACTGGCCTAGAAACTCCCAGACTGAGAGAACTGAATGTTCACAGTGTGAGTATTAACTTCTTGGCAAGGTTGCTGCTGCACACATGGGTGGTCCATCCCTGACTATGAATGCAACAAAGACCATGCAGACAGGGAACAAGGAGTGATCCTGAGAAGGAGGAGGACAGAGGCCGTGCTGTTTGTTTTCTAGGAACGTTTGCTTTCTCTAAAGCATATAACTTGAATTAATAGAGTAGATTTCACTACAGTTCCCCAGAATAATAATGACATCTGTAAATATGACTTTCAGAGCAGAATAAAGGACTTCAAATTAAGATATCCTTTCACTTTGCTAAGAAGCTCTGGTTTGATTCTGATTTGAAATGGGTACTGGCCCTAAGTTAGTTCCCTGGGCTTCTATAAATTGCTGCTTTTATGGCACCTTGAAATGAAGACAAAAGTTTACTACAATAATGTAAGAAGATTTCTCAAGCAAGAAATATCTCCTCAGTGAGATTCTATGACTTTGATTATTGCCTATGTTTGGAAACAAAAAAAAATAAGCGAAAATATATTATTTATTTCTTCAATTTACAGCTCCACCTGAATATCTCTCTCTTTTCTCTCTCTCTCTCTCTCTCTCTCTCTCTCTCTCTCTCTCTCTCTCTCCCTCTCCTTCTCTCCCTCCCTCTCCCTCTCTTCATCCCCCCACCCACATTCACATGGAGACACACACATGCATGCACAAAACCTCTCCACTGGAAAACGAAGACACATCATGTTTTGCAGTAAGACTCTCTCTCCTGACTGCTTTACATCTACTTTCGAGCATGCCCTTGAAACATTTTCTGTATTGTTCTCATCCATTAAACATCTCATCAGGATAATGGACAAATGCCAGGTGATTAAACAGATAACTGGAGGTTAGGGAGATGCCTGTTGAGTCCCCTGATCTGAAAAGTCCTTTGATTCTTTCAATGATTGGTTTTATTACCACCCAATATCTATGCGTGCTGGTGCTGGTTGTTGTTTGTCAAATTAACACAAAATAATACTATCTGGGAAGAGGAAATGACCATTTGGCTCATGGACATGTCTCTGGGGCATCTTCTTGATTAATGATTACCATGGGAAGGCCTAGTTAATTCTGAACGGGAATTACTACTCCTGGGCAGGTGGACCATGGTTGTCGTAGAAACGAAGCAGCATAAGCAGTGGATAGAAAGCTGGTAGGCCGCACTCATCCTCATCCTCTGCTTCAGTTCCTGACTTCAGGCTCCTTCATTGAGTTCCTATCCTTGCATCCCTCAGTCATAAGCTATAACCTGGGACTTATAAGATGAAATAAAACCTTTCCTCTCCATGTTGCGCTTTGTCAAGGTATTTATCATAGCAATAGAAAGCGAATTTAAACACCATGTAAAAAACCATTCTAGGAACATTCGTCCTCTCCAAAACGTAAGTTGAATCAATACAGTAGATTTTACTACAACTCTTGAGAATAATTACATCCATGAACCTGACTCTCAGGACAGGGTAGAGAAAGGACTTCAAATTAAGAGGCCTTATTTGATCTTGTAAGCCCCAGGTTAGTCAGGGTATGAACAGAAGACATGAATCTGTGCATATGATTAATGTCGATATTGTGAGGTACTTCCTATGCTTAAACCAATTTAGTTGGTGTTTAGTTGGTGGAAATCTTTCAGGTGGTTGGTAGTGCTTTATTAAGGTACTTAAAGTTAAAATGGTTCTTAAGAAAAAAGAGACTTCTTTGGCACCAAGGAATATATATTCTTTTCTCACAAAGAAAACTGAGATTTCAGACCATTTATCCTGCATACATTACATCGCATGCATACTCCAAAATACACAAGGATGCTGTGAGAAGCAGTTTGGCATCCCTAACCCTCATTAGTTTTGCTGATAACTGTTAGCCCATTATCTGAACAGCAATGACATTGTCCACCTACACAATGGCATTCACATATAATTTGATCCATAGCTGCCTAATTTAAATTTTTATGTCTTTTGATACTGATTTATTTGGCTGTTCTGTCTTTTGAAACAAGGCATATAACTGAGAAAAATATAACAGTTATCCAGAGGAAGAAAAATACTGCAAAGAATGGCCCATCTAATGTCCCTAAAACATGTATTTTGATACTGGTTTAGAAGGAAATTGAACACAGGGTATTAGGATAACTATTTTTTTGTAATATATATAAACATAATATAGATTGGAAATTTGAATACGTAAATAATGTAAATATCATGAAGCATCTGTTTAGTTGGTGAATATCATTCACATTCTTACTAGTGCTTTACTGAGGCACAATGCACTTCACTATCTGAGTGCTAGAGACTGAATTCAGTGCCTCATGCAAGCTGGCATAACTCTCTGACGTTGAGTTACAGTTTTTTTCTCTCACTTGCACAGATTTTAAGTGCAGATTTTCCTGAGTTGGGAAAATACGTATTACTACTTCATAATCTGTACTTCAAGCAAGACATAGACCCTACCCCTTTGAAATTACTTTTAAGCATCCTCAGTGTTAGAAAAACAAGACAATTTTCTATTATTAGAAATTAGTGTTATCTGTTAAATTTTTCCATAGGCTGTACTCATGAAGTATAAACTTTCCTTTCAATAACCATACTGCTTGAAGCTCATTCACGCAGCACATTACTGCACTGCACGTGCTACTTGTTCTTTAAGTCTCTATGACTAAGTTAAGTGTGTAAGGCGCAAAAGAGGACCTCGCCCTAAGATGGCAACGGTTGCCCGAACGCCATGGAGTAAACAAGTCAATATTTGGCATTTAGGCTGTCCCGGCCAGTGGTCTGACATGACGTGTCATGACGAGACCTATGGAGAGCCGCCACGTGGCGTGTTTGCTGTAGATGTCTGCAGGGAATATAAGCCGTGCCCCGGGACGGGATCGAGGCCATCTTCCAGCTATCTGTAGAGTGCTAAAGCTTCCTGCCTTGAGAAGGAACCTGGTGTCCTGCGGCTTCTTCCCGCTGGTCGGGGTCGGCGCGGCACATAAGTGCATTTCATAAACTGCTCAAGGTTGTTCCCTTTCATCTGTCGATGGGTATTTGTTTTCTCAAAATCTGATGTGATTTCAGGTAGCACAGCCAAGTTATTAAGCAGATACACACTTACATATACTATAATTACATATACTAGTATTTACTTATATATACTAGTGCTCTGCATTCATCTAGGGTAATTGCTAAGTCGTCTTGATAACGGCATAAGATGTTCTATATTTCTTTTAAAAACTTATTATTGGTTCCTTGTGAATTTCACATCACGCACCCCAATCCCGTTCGTACCCATATTTACCTCCCCTCATACCTATCTTCCTTCCACCTTTGCAACCTCCCCCAAACAGAAGGAAATAGATCTTGTTGTGGAAACTGTAGTGTGTCAGAGTGTGTACCCTAGTATATCCATATGTTCACACCTTCTTTGCTTGCAAATGTTTATGGCAATATCTCATTGGTCAGTATTAGGCCCCCGGCTTCTGGCTTCTACTACACTATTAATACTAGAATCTTACTGGGACTCTCTTGAATATCCTATTGTTGCCCTGTGTCACGGAGATGCTGTAGGATCAACCTTTTCATGCACTCCAGCAGTTCCCTGGATCTGGGCTTGTAGGGTATCTGAGCTGCTCAGCCAGCTGGCTCTCCTGTACTCATGCACTCACTAAAGGGTGAGGTTCACCAGCAAACTCCACAACGAGGGCCAGCTCTACTCTGCTCTCCTAAGTGAAGTGCAGTAAAAAAGAAAAGTGGCCAGTTTTTCTACTCTCATGACCCCAGGGCCAGCTCTCCCACCTGCCATTGATGAGGGAAGGGAGAAAGGCTTCTCTCCATTGTCTGAGTCGCTGCTCAGCAGACAAGAGGCAGGGCAGTTCTCCCGGGCTCATGATCTTAGGGAGGCTCAACTTGTTACCTCCACATCCAGGTCCAGTTCTACTGCTGCCCAGGAGAGGTGAAGGGCCCACTCTCCTGAGGGCTGAAGCATGTAGGGATCAGAGCCTGCGCTCCTGCTCTCAAGATCCCATGAGGCCAATTCTCCCACCTGTCCCCAGTATGAGGGCAAAAGGGAGGGAAGGGGAATCTCTCTTTTTGCTCTCTTTCTGCTCTCGCTCCAGCTCCTGCTCTAGCTCCCGCTCCCGCTCCTGCTCCCTCCGTCTCTCTCTCCTTCTCTCTCAGTGATGCCACAGCACAGCAGACAAGAAGCAAGGCCAGCTTTTCCATGTCATGCCTTCAAGGCCAGCTTACCCACAACCCCCACATCCAAGCCAGGTGAGGTATAGAGTCTGTTGTCCCTGAATGATGCAGCAGGTAAAGGATAGGGCCAGCTCTCTGATGCTGATGACTTCTGGGCAAGCTCTCCTTCTTGCTGTAGGTGGCAAGGTGTAGGTGGGTGAGGACATCTCCCCCACACCCGTGTCGCTGAATGGCAGACAAGTGGCAGGGTCACCTCTCTTCCATTCTTGTATCTTTGGGACACAGCTCACCAGCAGGGAACCTCTGCAGTGTACTGAGCTCTCACTGTCCTGAGTACTGCAGCTAGCTAGGGGTGAGGTCAGCTCTTCTGCTCTCATGTCTTTGTGGTCAGCTCTCTCCGGGAGATGCCTAGGTGAGGGGTGGGGCCAGTTCTACACTGCCCTCAGATATCACCATGACTCCATGGTGACACACAAGGACATCTGCCTGGCCTTTAGTGGTAACTGACCCCTGCTGCTTCAGCTCCACAAACACAGACATGGTCCCCCTTGGCAGCATAAGCCAGGACCCCACCATATTCCCAGGGTGCATCACGAGTTCCTCACATCAGGCTGTTCCTCACTACCCTTGAGTCTCCAGTTCTGCTCCTCTTCACTGTGCCCACATCCTTCTGTTTCTCTTTCTCTCCCATTTCTCCATCACTTGCTTGCTCCTCTTGGTGGTGTTCAAGGTCTCTGAGTGTCTCAAGAGTGATCTCAGAAGTGCTATATTCCACTTGTGCATTATAGCTTTGGACCGAGGTCATCTTGGGCATGGTCTGATTTCCCAGGCCTGTGCAACGGAGGTCTGGTGGTCACTTCAGGCTAGCTCCCTGTCAGAACCTCATGGCACCCATCTGGTGGTCATCTCAGTCTTGGGCTCACACCTTGTGGGACCTATCCGCATGGCCCTGTGCAAGGGCCATCTATCTCTCTAGTTCATTTGATCCCAGGCAGGGTTCTTCTAGTCTCTGGCTTTATTCCCGTCCTCGGAGCCCATCCAGACCCTGTGCAGCGTCAGACTGGTGATAGTCTCAGGCTTGCTTTTCACAGGGATTGTTAGGCCACTAATCATTCAGATCGTCACAGGTCAGAACACTGAGCGTAGACATAGGTTCTCTCCTCTCTGCCACCTACTGATGCACATGTGACACGGTGGCCACACCTGCAAAGCCCGTAGGAGCGGAGTTTACATTTCATAATCTGAATTTGAATTCTTACCAATAGTTTGAGATAGTTTGTTGATGTGTTCATCATTTGATATTGCCAGACTTTTAAACTTTAGTCAATAGGATTGATGTGTGTATGTAGTATGACCTCATTGTGATGTAAATTTCTTTTCTATAATACATAGCAATGGTGATGATTTTTCATATGGTTATTGGCCTATTATATACTACTTTATGAAATGTCTACTGTAGGTTATTTTTTTTATTAATTTTAAGTTAGGTATTTTTTATTGGGTTAAAAGAATTGTTTATATACTTGAGATATTATGTTTTTGTTTCTGCTTTTTCATTTCTTAATATCTTTGGAACAAGAGAAGTCTGCACTTTTATTAAAGTCTAATTTTTTAATAACCGAATCTTATGTTCTGTTTTTGAAAAGTCTTTACATTTTGCGAATTTGTTCTGACTTCCTCTTACAGAATATTATAGTTTATTTCCTTATAATTAGATCTTTCGTCAGTTTTATTCTTATGTGTAATGTAAATTATTGTTTTGGGGTTTTTTAATATAGATATACATTTGTTCCAGTACAATTTATCCAAAGGAATACCTTGTGTGTGTGTGTGTGTGTGTGTGTGTGTGTGTGTAAGCACGCATGTGTGTAAGTGTGCATATGTAAGGGTAGGTGTGCTCACATGTTTATGTAGAGGCCAGAGGTAAAGATAAGATAAGGCCAGAGAAAGACAAAGATATCTTTCTCTATTGTTTTCCAACTTACTTTTTTTTTTTCAGGTAGGGTGTCACTGACCTTGGAATTCACTGTTTGGGCTAAACTGACTGGACAGCAAGTCCCTAAAATTTGCTTGTACCTCCAGTGCAGAGATTACAAATAAATGCCTCTATGCTAGCATTTAACATTGGATGTTAGGGATCCAAACTTAGGTTGCAGTATTTATTCAGCAAACATGTACATACTCAACCATCTTCCCTGCCTAGTTGTTTTCTAGCATTTTTCTCCAGTACATTGTGCTAGTGTCTTTAACCTTTCTACTACTCTAGATATGTAACCCTAGAAGTCTATTTATGTATTCTGTACCCGAACCCACTGATGTGTTCATTCCTCATTATTTAAAACTGCACCACTTTGATTAGCTTGGGTTTATAGAGGCATTGATGTGGGATAGGATGACTTCATTTTTTTCTGTCATATAATTGTAAAACCTAGAATAAGTGATTTCCTACCAAAAAAAATGTTAGGAGTCTTATTAGAATTGTTTCAGCTCATAGAGTCTACAAAGAGGTTTGAAATTAACATACATCAAAATGATATCTATCATTTCTACCCATGAATATGAACAAAGGATAATGTTTAATATTTTGCATTTAACTTTTTTGAAATATTTTGGAATTCTCATTTTGTATCTTACACACATTATATTAAATTTATTTCCATTTTGATGTCATTAGTTGTATATTTTTACACTGAAAATTCAAAATAGTCATTGCAGTTAGCTCAGAATACAGTATATTCACGGGTTGAAAATGTAGATTTAAGTAGTCATGGGTGAAAATATGTAATAAAAGAATGTGTTTGTCCTAAACATGTACAGAATTCCTTTTTGGTCACTATTACTTAAAGAACATTACAATCAACTGTTATCTATCATTTACATTATACTAGGTATCATAAGTAACTAGTTATTAAAGTAAGTAAGAGATCATCTTGAGATTTTATTCAAACTTTATGTCATTGTATACAAAATCAATCTACAAATGCCAAGGGACGGGCATATGCAGAAATAATCACTGATTTGGAGCAATCTTGTATTATACCATTTCTAAATATATGATTAATTTATATTGATTTTCCAAAAAAATTTTCTTAGATTTTCTATAGAAATATGACTCATCAAAAATGTCATTTTACTTACTTCTAAGTCATATGCTCTTCTCATTTATTTTTCTTATAGGTTTGCAATGGCAAGGATCTCCAGGATAACATGGTTTCTAGAAAGTCTAATTTTGTCTTTTTTCCAATATTACAAGTAGGTTGTATAATTAACATATTATACACTCTGATGAGCACTATAGTGATCTATAAATATGAGTCAAATAAATATGCTTAGTGGAATAATTCATATCTTCTAAAACAATTAACAAGTTTATGTCTGCATATTATTTCAAATTTTTGATATATAGGAACTAAAATAGTCAAGTATAATTATACAACAGTCTACCCTGGTATTATTTCTTAGTTTATGAATTTTGAAGTTTTAATATTGTATGTACAGATATTTACAGTTGTTTCAAGATTATTAAATATGACTCTTTACTCTTCTTATTCAGTTTACTACCTTGGAATTTACTTTATAAATAATAACATAGCCATGTCAGCTGTCACCTGTCTGGCCATTGTGCCCAGTATGTATCCACTATACTTTCCTGTGCCTTTGTATTTATGGAATGAATCTGGACCATGAACGTATGTACATTATAGATCATTTCTTTTCAAACAATTCAATCTAACACTTTTGATAGTTAACTGGAATGCTAATTTCATTCACATTTAATGCAATTAGTAACAAACTTGAGTTTGCCATTTGTTCCTTCAGAGGGCTTTTCATTTATTGTCCTATTCCTGTACAATTTTGAATAGATCCAAACATACTTGATTTTCTATTATGTAATATTTTTAAAACTTAGGAATCCTTGAATGGCTTAAATTCTGCTACTTTAGTTTGTCAGTTCCTGTTGTAATCCATAGTACACCAGTTAGAGGTATGACAGTGTTCATCATCCTTCCTGAGGGCCAGGCTCATTCCACTTCACAAATATTAGCATATTTTAGTTGAAAAATATTATAAATATGGACTTAGACTCACTTGTTATAACTTACTGTTGAGTCAGAGTTTGACTCATGGTAGACTGAACAGGAAATGGGGCCATGGTGAGATCTACAAGTCGCTCACAGACACTGCAGTGGGGAAGGATAGCAAGGTAAAAATAGAGTGTGAGGGTTAAAACAGCAAAGCCAGCAGCACTAATGATGAGAGAAAAAAAAATGTGTGCAGCTGGCTATGAGATAGCAGAGTGCTCTTGAGAAGAAAGAGACAGACGGGCGCTGGTGAATGGTGGGCAGGATGAATAGCCGTGTGAGACATTTCCCCTTTGGGAAATGCAAGGTCGGCATTATTGCTTCTTACATATTCATGGTGTTAATACACTGCTTCTAATGCAGCTAATTGCAGTAGACTAAATTGTAAGGTTGGCCTCTGTTAAGACTGACTCTACCCCAAAGGACCCTAAGACAGAAAGATGACCATGAGCACTGCCGCGTCTTCTGCATAGCTGTGAGAACAAAGATCACTTAATTTAATTTCATCAACAGTGCTTAGGACATCTACAAGGTCAAAGGGAGCATCTCCAGGCAGTGCCTAAGGGCTGGCTCATAGTCAAGGTCAAGATTAACAAAGCCAGAGTCAGAGATTAACAAAGCAACCTTGGCTTTTAACACTAAAAACATGACCCTCTCTCTTTGCCAGGAAATCATGCACAAACTGTAGGGTCCTCTAATTTGTCAAATCATATCATTACCTCTGTCTTCACCCACTATTCCTTAAAAGGCCCTTTGGCCAGTTTGCCACAACGACCTGCTAGAACCCCTCTCACTGCTACTGAGATCTATACTGTCTCTTTACTAAATCCTCATAGCTAAATCTCCCTTACCACTTTACTGTTCTGGAAAATCCTTTATAAAGTGTGACTTCTCGATCACTCTTACAAGTGTCTGCACCATTAATATTGACTGGAGTCCTTCACAGGTATGTCACTTTCCTTCACCTAGAACCCATAAAACCCCTCCCCAGCACAATCTCTGTGTGACTTTCTTTGTTCCCTGAAGCTGGTGAACTCGGCTAGTGCCCTGCTCCCAAATAAACCAGCCTTTTTTTTTTCTTTCAATTTGACTTGAATTGGCGTATTTCATTGACAAAGGTAACCAATCAATGAGCATATTTTACCCAATTATGACTGTGTTCTTATAAACCCAGAACATAATAAGGAAATCATAGCCCCGAATGTTTATTATGCACCCATAAAGACTTATCAAGTATTTTCCTCATTGTAAAAATGTCATCAGTTAAGACACTGGTACATAGTCTTGTGTTATACTCAGTTATAATAGAGACTAACAAAATAAAAACATACTGCATAGCTGATGTTGTCTGCATAATTTCTAAATTAACATATAATTACATCATTTTCACCTTTCTTTCAGGAATGCTATCTCTGATATAATTCTCTTTTGAGAGCTTTTTTTACTGACACATATTCTATGGAAATACCCACCTCTCCATGTATTTTCCTGAATTGTGCTTTATTTAGAATTTGAACATTTCCTCTTTTTTTTTTAAGTATTTCATGTTATGTGGAAATCTTGGAACAATAATGTTGACCTGAGACTGAAGAGCACACACCATGAAAAGAAAATAACGCCTGTGGATATTTCCTTCCCCTCTGTGAGGGAACTCATAACAGATTTATTCTTTTCCATGGTTATCAAAATCCACTTGCTGCACCCCATGGATGTGAGGTGGAAAGATGGAGCTTAGAGCTTCTTCTGGTCTCAGCTTGTCTTCTCCTTTTAAAAGAGAAGTTGGGTCACATAGGGAGGAACAAATGAAAATCTTAAAGAAGCAGCATGGTCTGAACCCTATAGCTAAAGTTAGAGACCAGTAACATATTAGACAATTGGAAAATTCCTATGGCCAAAAGAGTTGAAAAAGCCATACAGTTAATTTCATGACCTTCTTCTTTTTTATTAATGAATAAAAGTCAGATTCTTTATTTGTGCAAACATGAAAAAAAGAAATTACCTCTACACGATTCCTATTGTCAAAAGCAATATGTAGGAAAGGATTAATTGGGTCGTGCTGGGGGGGATGGCTTTGTGTACTATGTGTTCAGATGATGAATTCTATATGGGAGATATGGATGTAGTCTGGATTTTTTTAATTGTCATTATTATGAAGCACAATATTTTGTAAAACATCATCTTATTGTTCAGTAAAGAGATGATTGTTGGGAGCTGACTCCTAGCAGCCAGCTCGAGCCATATACCCTGACAAGACACTTGTTTTCAACAGCTCACAACAGCTGAGCACACTCTGATAAACATCTTTGTTTAGTGTCCCCTGCTGCAAGGTACACGTGGTATCCATGGCTACAAGGCCTTCAGCTGTGTTCCCCTGCTTGTCCCCGAGGGCAAGGCACCTGATAAAACGTATAAATACCCAGGATTTCCTTTCAATAAAGAAGAGACTTGATCAGACTCTGTCAAGTCTCCATTCTTTGAGTCTCTCGCTCCCCCATCCTCACTCTCTCTCTTGCTAGACCCTGACCCGCTGACTGGAGCAGCAGAATGGGGTGTTACGGATGATCAGTCTATTAGCTGGATAGTAGAGAGAAGGCAAGACTTCTGCACCCGGAGAGCGAGAAAGAGAAGGACTAAGTGGGAGAGAAGAGATTCGCCATGAGATACTCGCCATGAGCAGGGGAGTCACAAAGAGGATGCTGTGAAGCAGAAGCATCCAGGAGGAGACTCAGATGGCAAGTACTAGAGCACATACTTGGGAAGTAACCTAGGCCATCATAGTTGGGGAAGAATAAATGAGGAACTGTCCTGCTAAAATGCTGAAGCTTAAAATAAATTTATTAGACCTCTATGTCCTTTATTTGGGAGCAGGAGAGTACATAGAAAAGCCCCAAATTACCTTTACAGGGTCAAATGGTTCAGCATGTAAGGTCACTGAAAACCAACCCTGACATCCCAAGTTCCATCCCTGGATTCATATGGTAGAAGAGAACTGAATCCTATTAACTGTCCTCTGACCTCCACACATGTAAGGTGCACACCCTCACAAATCTACACATACTCATACAAAACAAATAGATAAAAGTGTAATACATTTTTGAAAAAGGGTAGAGAATAAACTAGTACATTGTATCAATTGTCTGTTGAATATCAGACAACACTCAGTTGTTATAAATTTCACTACACTGGCAATGCCCCTGACTCAAGTGAAACATACTGTTCTAGGAAATGTTGGCTTAATAGTTTAAGAGTCAAATTATAAAAGGTTTTCATTGACCTGGGCCAAAATAAAAGAGTCTTGTAAAATCAAAAGGGATTCCAGTGGAGAACATGGCTTCATATTCCTTGATAGTAAAGCAAATTTTACCTCTCTAACATAATGTTTCAGGAAGCAAAAATGGCTCAGAGAAAATCCAGCTTTAGAGAGATTGCTCATAACCAGAACCTAACACTTAGATTTCTTATTAATGAACAAGTTTTCAGAACAGAATATTTTCATTTTTTTTAATAATAGCTTTTCAAAGATGACACAGGGGCCAGTTTCCTCATTTAATATCACAAATGATCTAACAGCTGTAATTTTACTAAGAGAAAATAACAATGAAAAGGCAGTTTCCTTTTAATAGATTTCAAAAACTCTGGTTCAAAGTTGCAAAAGAACATATTTACCATAGTGTAGAGAGTATCATTATAATTTCAGCAAGGGTCTAAAATTATACAAATGGGACATTCAATTGTTTATGACATTAAAACTCATGCATCTTTTCCCCCATTTATCATACTTTGTACATAGTTTATTGTTCTGCCTTGAAATATAGGAGAACATGTGACAAGCCAAGAGCAAACTGAAAACCTTGGACATTGAGAGGCAGTAAACAGTAAGAAAACAAAACATTTCTGCTCCTCATAAAAACCAGCAGACCAGGTGTCTATCTACATCTGCAACCTTATCACAGTAATACTATTGACCACAATAAGCTGTGCTATCACTGAAAAGAACAAAGAAAATCAGGAGAACTTCTACACTTCCTTGGAATTCAGATAAACAAACGTCTGTGTTGTTTTATAGTCACAGACATTGTTCTCGCCAGAAAGACAAAGACTTGCCCTGAATGTAATCAAGTAAAAGTTGCAATTAGAAAAACCAAATCGCAAATTTACAAACCCATCCATTTACAAAGCGATTTCATTCCACCATCCACGTAAGCCTAAGATCCAGTGCTCCAATGGCGTATAGTTTTTAAAAAACAAAGTAATTTCCTGTCCTACCTGTAACAAGAAAGCTGCATCTTCCTGCTCCGGCTTCATTTATGATGCTGCAGTTATAAACTCCGTAGTTTTCATTGGAAAGACTCTTTAGTGGGTACTCCGTATACTCCTGAGAGTCAAACTGGCCAGTCCGTAGTAATTTATTGCCCAAACGCCACTCATAGGTCAGCACTCGTATTGGATAGGCTCTCAGGACCCTACAGCTCATGGTCACGCTTCTGTCTTGTCCTTGACGGATTTCCAAGAATGCTGGTTCCACAGCTGGGGGATCTGGGAAAAGATAGGTTAAAAGAGAATGAGGCTTTTGAAATTGCAATCTCCTTGGCTCTTCAATCATGAGTGGGGTATTTTTAATAACATATGTTACAGGGAACAAGGATAAGAGGTGGGTGGAGAATATATTTAAACGGAGCCAGGAAATAAAAGTTCTCTCAGTGTAGACAATTAATAAGACTCATTGTTTTACAAAAAAAAAATTTACAGGCAAAATAACAACAAAACTGTGCAGCTGTACCTGGTGGTCTCTACTTCACAGTGCTTACAGGTTTGCAGAATTGATTACTAAGTCTGGAATTATGTGAGACCATGAAAGGTTGTTCGATCCCAATTTAGCTAAGGCTTGAAGCCGCGGAGACCCTGCACTTTACCGGGAGCCTGTCACTAGCCACAGCTCCCCATAGATATATGGTAATTAGTCATGTAAAGGCAATGCCCCAATTCCCTCCATAGGTAGAGGATGTAACCTGTGGTCATATAGGCTCAAGACAGATCTCCATTTTAATGAGGTACCTAAAGGCCTGGAGGGCGTACCCAATAAGATTTCCTTCCCAGACATTCCTCCTTGCAAAAGGTATTTACTCTCAAGACCACCCTGAGAAGTGGGATTTGGTTTTACACATCCACTTTCCACCTGACAATGTCTTTTTTTTTAATTGGATATTTTCTTTATTTACGTTACAAATGTTATACCCTTTCCAGGTTTCCCCTTCAAAAAACCCCTATCCTATCCCCCTACCCCTGCCTCTATGAGGGTGCCCCCCCACCCACATACCCCTGCCTTCCTGTCCTGGCATTCCCCTATACTGGGCATTAAATCTCCACAGGACCAAGGGCTGCTCCCACTGATGTTCAACAAGGCCATCTGCTGGTACAACCACTGTGGATATCAGCCTGGTGGTTCCTCAGATAATTAGACATAGTATTATCTGAGGACCCAGCTATATCACTCCTGGGCATATACCCAGAAGATGCTCCAGCATGTAATAAGGACACATGTTCCACTATGTTCATAGCAGCCATATTTATAATAGCCAGAAGCTGGAAAGAACCCAGACGTCCTTCAACAGAGGAATGGATACAGAAAATGTGATACATTTACACAATGAAGTACTACTCAGCTATAAAAAACAATGAATTCATGAAATTCTTAGGCAAATGGACGGAGCTTGAAAATAGCATCCTGAGGGAGGTAACCCAGTGACAATAAATGCGTTAGAACTGAGGACTGCCTTTTTTCATCAGGATCCACCATGAGGATCGCATGAGACCACAACGGAGAAGGTCTTCGCCTATAGAGCCACTGTCTAGTCTCCTATAGAAGGTCTCTCTGTGCTCTCAGTCACTACAGCCACCAAGCCTAAGCTCAAGCCTGCTGCCCCCTAGCAAGCCCAGAACTCCACCTGGGGGACCAGCCAGAGCCCCCCTTTTCTACCCCTAACCCTAGCCCTGGACTAGATCCCACCTGCCAGCCCTGACTCCGTTCAGAGCTGTTTCACAGCTTCTAGGACCGCCTGGATGTCCAAGAGCCTGAGAACCAGATGGCCCCAGCCTTGTCGAAGGCCTGGGGACCGCCAAACCAGCTCTGGCTGTCCTGTGCCCCATACTGGGCTTTCCTACCCCAGGAGCAGTGTCTCAGGGCTTCCTATGGCCCAACGCCGGCCCAGGACGGTGTGGGGTAAGCGCTGTCGAGTTCTTCAGTCCTGCTAAGCCCTGTGGCAGAGCAGACTCTGGACTCCTTAACCCTACAGAATTCTTTACATGTCATGCTGTTAATTAAATATTTTTGGTCTCTATTCTCATTATCAGTCTAATTGAATAACTGGGAATATATGATTCTTTCAACAAAGATTTTAAAGTCTGTCAAGTTCAGTTATATCTATTCAAATTTTTTCTTATGGGTCTTTCCGTAAAATTAGTAAGAAATTTTCCACATGCAAGAAAAATGCAACTTCCTTTTAATGTATTTCATGATACAACACCGGCAAGGCGTTTAAAGAAAGGTGAGACCTGTGCTATGTTTTATGTTTTTGTTTTTTTGTTTTTTTTTTTTTTTTAGGAAACACAGGATATGTAAGGTGTGTATGTCAGAAAGGAGGGCATCCCAGGCATGAGATAGTCCTAAATATTATCATCATTGAGGAAAAAAATCTGTAGTAGAAAAGAGGATGTGAACGAGAAAGGAAAATGAAAGTTGTGGGGGAAACAACCATGACAGCATTAATTTTAAAAAAAGAAAATGAACACCTGTCTATGAGGTAAATGAGGCAGGAAGTGATGCCTTAGATACTTTATGCAGTGTGGTGGACAGACATGTCAACTCTACAAATTGGAAGAAAAGAATGAGAATCTAGAGTGTGGCTGGCACGATGATCCTTTGGGCAAGCAAGTCACACTAGTAGGAAAGGGTTTCTCCTGCTATCCCCATCCCTTTGATTCTTACTTGGATGACTCATGTCAGATGAAAGCCCACATAGACTCGTCCCTCCAATCCTCCACATGTGTTAATGTTTCTGTAGGACAGGGTTTTGCTCTGTCACCCAGAGGAGAAGGAAGAAGGAACGCTCCCATGTGAGCGTGTAGTTTGATAGGTCAGATTGTGTCTGGTAGGACTGACTGGTTAACTGATTGATTACCTACTCATTTTAGTTGGGTTAACTTTGCCTAGTATTAACATCATCTAAAAGACTTAGGTAGTTTTACATTTTTGTCTTGTAACTTTATCTCCTTTTTGATTTACCTATTTCTCAACTGTATTATCAAATCACTGAAGAGGAAACTTAAGGGTTCTTCGGAAAGTGTGTTGAATGGTGTTTTGCTGGAGCAAACACATGAAGGGACAAGTCATTAAAGCGGACACAGGTGTGAAAGGCTAAGGCAGAAGGAACATTTGGCTGAAGCAGACACAGGGGAGAGGATGTTCTGCTGAAACAAGCATGTGAAAGGACACGTGATGAAGGATTCTTTGCTAATGACACACGTGTATTGGTCCACCTTACATTGCATAGCTGTGTTGCATTTGTCAGGATGTCATAGAGAGAAACACACCAAAATACTGGTGGTATGGTGCAGTTTGTTGCTGCTTCCACAGGCTTAGACTGATTGGATGTACATACTGAGGCAAGACATATGCTGAGGAAAAACCTGTGCTGAGGCAAGGCATGTGATGGACACATGTTTGTAGGGTATAAAAAGGACTCCACAGAGTGCCAGAAACAGAGCTTGGCTTGCTGGTACAGCTAACCGTGCAACACTTGTGGGTGTCATCTTCCTTGAGAAAGGCACAGCCTCAAAGACTTCTTCTGGTGTCTCTGTTGGTTCCTCCTGCTGACTTGATCCAAGGCTGAGGCCTGGCTGTCTCTGTTAGGTCTTGTCACCGCTGTTGCTAACCCTAATCTACCAAACTGGAATGACAGCGTATCCGTGAGGTGTTTTTGAGTGGATCAAGCTGCCACTGCCTGCTAAGCTATGAACTGAACTGCTTATTTCCAGACAACACAGATGGGAGTTGCTCCAAAGAACCTTTTTAAACAGGTCCATGTCCTCCATATCCTTTTTTTCCCACTACCTCTGGTGGGTAGTAGGCTACAAGGAAGGTTAAAGCGTTTAAGAACCATCATTGAAAATAGGATTTGAAAAAAATTAAAGGTACAAATCATGTACATTTTACATCTTGTAAGTTCGTGTTTGTCTTTTAATACTGTAAACTCTTGTTTATCACTGAGATTTAGTTTTTAAGAGTAGATTTTAATACTATTAATGTAGCTACTCATGCATTCATCCATTTATTTAATATTTGCATTTCACAGTTTCAGATTTTATTCTGAAGCATTCAGCACTCTTACATTTCACAGAAATCTCTACAGATACGGATGTTCCTGTCTTTTGTCATCTCCAGACTGTTTGGCAATTATCTGCACCCAGGTACTTAGCATCCCATTCATTTATGGTTGAATAAAATTGTTTGTTCTCATTTTGTATTTTTTTCTAGTTTTTTTTTTGATTGCCTTCTGTTTGATTGTTGGATTTATCTAATTATCCAACCCCTACCTTGCTGCCAGTTGGGATTTACCTACTTTTTCTAATATTTTGGTTCCATCATCATGGTATTTAAAAAAAGCTAACTCTGAAAGATTTTTTATTCTTTAACGCTCATCCTAACATATGTTACTGATTCAGGAATTTTAATTCTCCCTTGCTTTTAAAATTCTATTACACATCAGCTGTAACGTTAACATTTCTATCCTGAATTCATTAGCCCCACGTTCCTTAACACATTAAGGCCTGTGACCCATGATCACTTTCTGAATTTCTGTAGTCACCATTCTGAACTCCACATCCCATCTTTTCTTATCTCCCTGATACTGATAGGCAAAGACATATTTTCCTTATTAAAGTATTTCCAAGGAACACAGTTTTATAGGCTGGCAGTTCTTTTTTTTTTTTTTTTTTGTCAATACACAGTTCCACTGTCTTTGGATAGTCATGCACCGTATTGAAAATTTATTTCAAAGCCTTACATTTTGATCTACTTTTTCTTCTTCCTAGCGCCTTTCAAAAATCACTCTGTTTTTGATACCTATGGTTCCGTGTGGTGTTCACAGGTATGTGCTTCTTCTTTCTTGTAGGTTGTGCTTAGAGTTGCTCATTTACATTTGTCTGTCATCTATGATATTTTGGAACATTCTCGTCATCAGTTCTTCAGATAAACCTCTTCCCTTTAAATGCTTTCTTCATGGTCTTCAACATTTTAAAAATTCCCTTCCAAAGTCTTTCTGTTTCCTTGTTTTTCTGTGTGTTAATAAATTCTTCTGAGATAACAGTTTGTCGATTCTTTTTATAACTCTACTTAATCTGCTAAATGCATTCATGGTGTTTTAAATTCAATAATTCATATTTAATCTAAGAACTTTCTATGCAAGTTTTCTGCACAGCAGTCATGTCTGCTTACCCATTTCCATATTACCTTCTAGCATGTTCAGGTCTACCTTTAA